CACAATTATCGGAATCCTTATTTTCACGAAAGACATTAAAAAGATGAAGCATATGAGGCAACCTTAATTCCATGTTTTTGTAGTTTTCTTTTATAGACTAAACTAGTGATAAAACAAGAAACTAGAAGATTTGATTGCAAGATCTAAAGATATACCTTCAAGCGCTAACCTCCCCGGCAACGGCGCCAGAAAACTTGGGGGACAACCTTCTTCTTGTAGACGTTGTTGGGCCTCCAAGTGCAGAGGTTTGTAGGACAACAACAAATTTCCCTCGAGTGGATGACCTAAGATTTATCAATCTGTGGGAGGCATAGGATGAAGATGGTCTCTCTCAAACAACCCTATAACCAAATAAAAAAGAGTCTCTTGTGTCCCCAACACACCCAATACAATGGTAAATTGTATAGGTGCACTAGTTCAGCGAAGAGATGGTGATACAAGTGCAATATGGATGGTAGATAAAGGTTTTTGCAATCTGAAAATATAAAAACAGCAAGGTAACTAATGATAAAAGTGAGCACAAACGGTATTGCAATGCGTTGAAACAAGGCCTAGGGTTCATACTTTCACTAGTGCAAGTTCTCTCAACAATAATAACATAATTGGATCATATAACAATCCCTGAACATGCAAGTCACTACAAAGTCACTAATAGCGGAGAACAAATGAAGAGATTATTGTCGGGTACGAAACCACCTCAAAGTTATCCTTTCTGATCGATCTATTCAAGAGTCCGTAGTAAAATAACACGAAGTTATTGTTTCTGTTCAATCTATCCTAGAGTTCATACTAGAATAACACCTTAAGACACAAATCAACCAAAACCCTAATGTCACCTAGATACTCCAATGTCACCTCAAGTAACCGTGGGTATGATTATACGATATGCATCACACCATCTCAGATTCATCTATTCAACCAACACAAAGAACTTGAAAGAGTGCCCCAAAGTTTCTACCGGAGAGTCAAGACGAAAATGTGTGCCAACCCTTATGCATAAGTTCACGAGGTCACGGAACTCGCAATTTGATCACCAAAACATACATCAAGTGGATCACGTGATATCCCGTTGTCACCACAGATAAGCACATGCAAGACATACATCAAGTGTTCTCAAATCCTTAAAGACTCAATCCGATAAGATAACTTCAAAGGGAAAACTCAATCCATTACAAGAAAGTAGAGGGGGAGAAACATCATAAGATCCAATTATAATAGCAAAGCTCACGATACATCAAGATCGTGCCGAATTAAGAACACGAGAGAGAGAGAAATCAAACACATAGCTACTGGTACATACCCTCAGCCCCGACGGTGAACTGCTCCCTCCTCGTCATGGAGAGCGCCGGGATGATGAAGATGACCATCGGAGAGGGATCACCCCCCTCCGACAGGGTGCCGGAACGGGTCTAGATTGGTTTTCGGTGGCTACAGAGGCTTGCGGCGGCGAAACTTCCGATCTAGGTTTCTTTCTGGAAGTTTTAGTATATATAAGACGTTTTGGCGTCGAGAACAAGTCAGGGGGGGCTCCGAGCTGTCCACGAGGTATGGAGGCGCGCCCAGGGGGGTGGGCGCGCCCCCACCCTCGTGGGCAGCCCAGGACTCTTCTGGCCCAACTCTTTTACTCCATATCCTTCTTCTGGTCCAAAAATAAGTTTCGTGAAGTTTCAGGTCAATTGGACTCCGTTTGGTTTTCCTTTTCTGTAAAACTCAAAAACAAGGGAAAAAAACAGAAACCGAAACTGGCACTGGGCTCTAGGTTAATAGGTTAGTCCCAAAAATCATATAAAATAGCATATAAATGCATATAAAACATCCAAGGTTGATAATATAATAGCATGGAACAATAAAAAATTATAGATACGTTGGAGACGTATCACATCCTGCAGTAGTGGTTGAGCCTAGCTTATTTAGGTTTTGTGCTTGATAAGTTAAATGCTAATTTTATTTCGCATTTATTCAAGCCTAAACCATAAATGTTTTTAAAACGCCTACTCACCCCACCTCTAGGTGACGTCTAGGTCCTTTCAACCGGAACCCCATCATGATTAAGGAGTCGGTCTCAGTATGAAGGACCATTGGAGCCCCACCCCTTCCTTAGTTGTGTATCGGTTGTTTGTCACCCTTCGACTACCCCTTTGGGCTCTCTAGTGTTGTAGTGTTGTCCAATTGCTCGGTGCCCTTCGGCTACGTCGATAGTATCAAAGTTGTCATGGTTTGGTCAAAGTTTTCTCTTCCATTTGCGCATCCCATAGTTTTTTGTCACGGTCTTTGCACTAGTTTGCTTGTGGTGCGCGAGGATGGTGCCCACAATGTCTAGGCTATGCATTGATTTTTGATGGCGTTCTTGTGTTGCCTTGGCGAAGCAAAGGTGCCCCTCATTGTGGGCTTCCCTGGGGTGTCCTCATTGTGTGTGTGTGTGTGGAGGGAAGGGTGCATAATTGTTTTTTTGGTTCTCTGTTTTCTGTAATTCACGTGTGCTTTGGTTCATTTAAACCTATCTCATAAGAGGTTGTGAATCTTCATAAAAAATATAGACGAAAATATTCATATGTATATCTCCTTGACTATTCAATAAAAAATTATTGTTTTAATTACATTTATAAATACCCCTTATGGGTGACACAATGGCAAGCTTTACTCTACTCTAGGATGCTAGACATGACAACTCATTGGGTTGACAACTAACATGCACTATTTAGGGGCATACAAAGGGTATGCCAAATTTCACCAATTCAATATGAATTATATAAAAATGTATCAATGAACATGTATGGCTAGGGGTTGTGCATCATATTGAATGCGTCCTTAGTAAACACAGCTTGACTTGTCTACCTAGCCAGGTATGACATCGTTGTGACATATGGGGCCATCTTTGTCAGTTTGTGAATAATAACATGGAGTAGAACACAACATCTCAGTTGAGGTGAAATTTACTCATAGAAGTTTTTTGTAAAGAGAATTTGTCCAAAAGTTCGTCGGTTCAAAGAGAACACTTGCTCTGCCTTTTTCGATCGAAATATAGATGTGGTAATATTAGATTCCATCTCTCATCGATGAACTTTACAAAAGACCCTTGAACAATTATAGCATGGGTCGTCTGTCGCCACCGCGACGAAGCCGGCAATCCCGCCTCGCCCCATCCATCTTCTTCGACGCCGCGAACCGTCCCTGCACGGCAATCCTATGCCATCACATCCTCAACATCGTCTCTATCCAGGAAATCTGATGGTCGGAGGTCTCTCCTCCCAAGGAAAGGCAACTAGTGTTTATGCCTCCCGCCGGCGGGGCCGCCGATCTACCACGTCTCCTATGGCCTTAGAGTCATGGGTGCGCGGTGAATCCTGATCCTTGTTGGGGGGAGGCTCCATTTTTAGATGCTTCTTCAAGTTTTGTTAGGGTTTCTATCTTGTTCAGGAAGAGATGGCGGTGACTCGAAGATGAAATAAGGTTCTCCCTGCCTAGCCCCCATCCCGGTGGTGCGTCTAGCATCGTCAGAGGGTGTGTGGAGGTGTGTCTGCGGCGGATCTCGCGGGATTCAGTCGATGGTTGTCTTTGGTGGATCGTCTCGGACCCGGTCTTCGTTTGTCTTTGTTCGTGTGTCTTCAGGTCAGATCATTTCGATCTACGCTTCTCTTCATCGACGACGGTTGATATTCTGGTGTGTTGGTCTTATGTGGCCTGAGCACGACGATTTTTCGACTGTTTACTATAATAAGTTGTGACCTGGCTCTGGTGAGGGAGGGGCGATGAAAGTGGCACGCTTTCGGCTCAATTCAGTGCTTGTAGTTGTTGCTAGTCGGTGTACGGATCTGAATGCAATTTTTATTATTTGTGATGTTCGTTGTGGTGTCATGATTGAAGACAAATAGATTAAAAGTTTTCCGTAAAAAAAATCTAATGGCCGGAGAGTATATTGTGATTTTATGAAATTTATCCATTCCATTGTTGCGCCAGTAGACCCGTTAATACCGTTATAGAACGATGATAACCAGGTCTGGAATCCAGTCGTTGGCAAAGGACTCGACAAAAGTCTAGCAATCACGCTCACTGCCGGTGGGCTTCAGCTCGGTCCCACACCTCAGCGACCTACAAACATAGGGCTTTACAAAAAGACCGCACCACCTCGCAAATCATCTCTCTCAGGACAGGAGCATCCAAACGTTGGGAGCAAAGGCGTTCTCCGCCGGCCGCCCGAGCCGGCACGCCCGGCCCCACAGGTCAGTCAGCAGCACCGCCATTCTTACAGAAAAGCCCCCCTCCGATCTCCCGTACACAAACGAACCCCTCACGGCTGGACCCCACTCTCCAGCGAGCAGAAGCCCAGCTGTCCAGGGGCAGAGCGGTAACTCCGCCGGGGCGGACGTGCCAACTGTGAGCCCGCGTATTTTATTGCGGGAAAAAACCAGGGGGGGATTTATTTCCATCCGAGCCCCTGAGAAAATGCGTCCCCATTAAAACCTCTCTCCTTCCTTCCTGTCTCTCTCTCTCCCTAAAATCTCTCTCCTTCACCTCACTCTCTCTCCACCCCAACCCCCGCTGCCGAATCCCCAAACCCCCGCCGTCGCAATCACCCGCCCGTGGGGGCAGCCGCGCGCGGATTTCTGTGGACTCCGGCGTCCCCGGCCCGGATTGATCCCGCCGCCCCTGCTCCCCTCCTCCCGATTCTCGCCATCCAATCCTTCCTTTGCTCCCTTCCTTTCCCGGCCGCCTCCCTGGTTTCTTGCCGAAATTGCCTGCCACCTGTTTGGACTCCGGACGCGCGCATAACTTGCCTCGCCATTGCGGCTGCTCTGCTCAGCCCGGCTGCTTCCTTGGATCTGCTAGCTCGCCTGCCGCCGGCCTCCGGGCCGCGCATGCCCGTCCTCCCCCGCTCCGAATCTCGTCCTCGTTTCGGAGGCCCTCGTCGTATGCGGATGAGGAGGGGATCCTGACCTGACTCTTGCTCGGCTCCGGCGGTCCCCTTCTTGGATCCTCGCTCGCGGCGGAGGCGTGCCGGGATGGGTTTCTTGATCTGCGCCTGCCTCCTCCAGCTGCTCTTCTTGGGCTCTTCTCCGGCGGCGGCGCAGTCGCCGTCTCCGGCGAGGGCCCTGGACGCAATGCTGCAGGGCTACGCGTACCGGGCCTTCGTCCGGCCGCACACCGGCATTGTCTACAACGGCACCGTGCCCGCGGACCTCGCCGGCGTCGCGGTGTCCGGGCTCCGCCTGCGCAGCGGCAGCCTGCGGAGGAAAGGCTTCTCCGACTATTTCGAGTTCAGCATCCCCCCTGGCGTCATCGTGCAGCCGTACGTGGAGAGGGTGGTGCTCGTGTACCACAATTTGGGCGAGCTGTCGGAGAAGTACTACCCGCTCCCCGGCTACACCTACCTCTCGCCCATTCTCGGCCTGCTGGTCTACGACGCTGCCAACTTGTCAGCAGCGGGGTTGTCCGAGCTGAGCATCGTCGCGTCAGGGAGCCCCATTTCTGTGAGTTTCAGCAATGTGAGGGCGGTGCCCCCAGGCAGTCCAGCGCCGCAGTGTGTCTGGTTTGATCTGGATGGCGTGCCACAGTTCCGGGGCTTGGAGGCAAACAACGTGTGTGCAACGTATCGCCGAGGGCACTTCTCCATAGTGGTGAACTCCAGTGAGGTTGCTCCTGCTCCAGGGCCTTCAGGCGCAATTGCCCCACCGATACCGACTAATGGTGGTCGTGATAAGGGTAGTTCGGACGCATGGAAGATTGCTGTCGGCGTTGTTGGGGGCGTCATTGCATTGGGTCTGTTGGCTTTGCTTCTGGTATGTTTCGTCAGATATAAAAGGGAAAAGAAGATGGAGGTGATGGAACGAAATGCGGAGGTCGGGGAGACTTTGCGCATGGCGCAGGTTGGGCGGTCGCAAGCGCCTGTAGCGTTGGGAACGCGAACAAAACCTGTGATTGAGAGCGAGTATGTTGTGTAGTTGATCTTTGGTGTTCTGCAGAATTCAGGCAACAGCAGCAATGCTCTATGATGATGCCCTGAGATGTGGAATTGTCCACCGGTCAGTTGAGGCAGAACGCATTCCATGTCAGTGAGGGTGCTGTGAATTGCTAGGTTTAGGGTTCAGCCGCTGCTCCTTGCGGGTAGCAAATTCTTTTGGCGGTTCTTATTAGGACTTGAATTGTTCTGCAATGGTTGCTGTTGATGTTCATAGTCGCCATGTTCCTTGTTGGGTTCATCTGCAAGCAAGCAATGGAGAAGAGATATTTGTCATGCCAGATTTGGAATCCTTCGATTATTTTTTCATTGTTGTATTCAGAAGGAAAATGGGCCTGGCAATAAGGCTGAGGTAATATTCATTGCACATGCCATTGTGCTGTTCCAGTGAAATTCATACAGGTTCCAACTCAATTCCATTTTGGTGCCTTTTAGCTTCTCCTGTTTGGACAAATGTTTAATACAATGTAAATGTTTACTCATTTAGTTTGGTTTGGTAACTAATCTGCTTATTTAGATTTCATTGTTGCTTGTTTTAAACATGCAGTCTGTATGCAGTGAGAACCTTCCTTTTTTCTTCTCAGAAAGGTTCTCATTTCTGTCTGTACCTTCTTGATGATCCAACCTTGTGATTTAAGAATTAACATGCAGTCTGTGTGCAATGAGAACTTTCCTCTGTCTTCTGAGAAATTTTCGCATTTCTAGTTGTACCTGATTGATGATCGAACCTTGTGATTTAACATTCAGTCTGTCTGCAATGAAAATTTTCCTTTGTCTTCTTAGAGATGTACGCATTTCTAGCTGTACTTTCTTGATGATCGAACCTTATGATTTTTTTTCCAAAGTAATACTAAACTCTTGAACTTACAAGGGTGTCATTGTTATTGTTTGTCATTAACAATTTTAGTTTCTTTCATGCTGAGTTGGGTAAGAATGGCTTGAATGCAGCTTTATAAAATAGCAAAAGAATGTTTAATTGGTGTAAGTGTGATCAAACATCAAAATGAAGATAGAGCAGATGATTTGATAATTCTCTGCTAACAAAAATGAGAGAATTATATTTGTTGGTATAATTTTGGGTCAGTCTGCTGTTTCAAAGTTAGTTAGCACTTTAGGGTATTATTTTTCCAGCATAGTGTTGTTCGCGAGGCATTGGATGATGGACGGCGAAAGCAAGGTGCATTTACATTAGAATAATTTAGTTTCAAGTTCGTTGCATAAGTCCTGTCTTTAGTATTGCTCATCACCTTTACTTAGGCTGGCCATGGGTCTGTCCTCTGTTTCTCGCACTTTAACAATCGACAAGGTAATTTAACAAAGGCACTTGACCGAAAGTCGAAACTCAGGTGGAGATACTTGTCACAAAATCCCCTTGGGTGGAGGTCATGAGCAATCTATAATTCGACAGCCTGCCTCTGGTCCAACCTTTTGGAGCATGCTGTGCTCCTTTAGGCAGCATTGTTCTTTGCTGTCAGTCATGGGTGCACGTTCATCCGATCATTTCCATGCTGGATATGGTATAAGCTGATCATTTCCATGTTGCAGTATCAAATAAGCACTAGGAGGCTTAGAATAGCCGTCACTTTGCTGATCATGTTTTAGTGGTCAAATGTTTCTGTCACATGAAAATTTCAAACTAGATACCCACATTCTGTACTATTTTTTTAAGAATACGGTGCTGAAGTTGAGCGTTGAAAATTTTCCAGACGAGATATAAACATATCCTTTCTGTAGTGGTGAGTGGTGCTGAAGTGTTCTGCAGAAGCAACCCTGAGTAGTATAATGATGGTGCTAAGCTGGTAGCACTTGCCTGCACTTAGAGGCAAATGTAATCAATTTTGTACTATACAGGGTTAGTCCTGCACGCATGTGAGCGGCACCCTGATCCTTGCAGATCCTGCCAACTTATGCCAGCCAGCTGAAACGAATGGAATAGAGGCAAGAAACAAGCACAAGCCAGGCCACTCGCTCGCTCACGCAGATGATGGCAGAATGTTCTGGGGCTTTGTTGCCCTTGTTGCGAGGCCATGCCTTTCTCTTTGGCTGTGGCTGTACAACCCAGAACCCAAAGCGACAGCATCCATGTCTCGGAGAGGGCCGGGGCCAAGGCCAGCTAAGAACCCGGAAATTTGGCCCGATTTTCCCAGGAAATTGCCTTGCTGTTTCCTTACCAATGTGTGAGATTTTGGCCCGGAAACTCGAATCATTCCATGTGAGGTTCGTAAGTTTCAAATGGGGTCTCCAACAAGGATGTACGTACTGAAGAATGGGGCCGGGAGGTTGGCCCCTGGTGTGGTGTGGTCGGCAGCTTTGGAAGCTGGTGGCGCAAACACTGGCATTGTGCACGGGAATCTTCGCTGTCACCTGCACCAGCCCACTGCATAGGACAGCTCATACATTTGTTTCATCGCCAGCCACAGGCAGTGTGTTTGTTTGTTCGGTTTTGTTTTGTTGGTTTGTTTACTGTAGTATGTACTGACCCTCCCTTTGCTGTACTACTTTACTACTACTACTACGACCACTTACTGGAGTGGAGGGTTATTAAGCTAACTCACTCTTCTTGGATTTTCCATTGTTAGACTCGGTGTTAAGAGGAAAAATCACATTAGTAGTGCCGCCATTGCCTGTAGTAGGAGTAGCATCAGGACAGCAGATGAGACAGCTGATTATCACGCGATGGTACTTGTATCAAGGGAACTTTTTGGAATGTTTGTTTCTGTTTGGTTGGTTGTTGGTGGGCAGATGTTGTGCTTGTGGTTAACTCTGGGTTAATGATGTGGTAGCACTGGTACTAGTACTTCATCCAGCAATTAGCTAGCCAGGTGAGCTGTCTGGGTTTGAAATTAGGGACTAGTATGCTATACTGTGTGCAGGTGAGTGTGGTCCATCCGTCCATGTCCATCATCACTGCATTGACTAGCGGCGAGGACTGGGAGGATCTGAAGTGGTTGTTTTAAATTAATGAAGTGAAGCCCTAGACTGTATTTTGAAGCTCATCCTCCTCAGGTTGTGCTCACCCAAGTTCAAAAGACAAGCCCCTTTGGGAACCACATGGTCCGATCACCTAAACAACTTTAATCACTACTACTAGTAAGTACGTACGTACAATGGACCTAATAAAATTATGATATCATCATGTGTGTGACGTAAAATACTGCTAAACAACTGTGAATAGAGAGAGCACTCGGCTTGTGGGTGTCAGGCTAATGACTAGTATAGGTTTCTTGATCACTCGGCAATCTATGTATGGATCATATAGCGGAAAATGGGACGGCCACAAGACGTGGCGTTGCCGGCAGGGAAACACTGTCGTCCAACGGGGCGGGCCAGCCATTTGCTGCGAGGAGGGCGGTGGAGAATGAAAATCATTTTCTTTGCACTTTCGGCTGCCTTGTAGTATAATTTTTAAGCCGTGCTCGGTTGGAACAAGGACAACGAAATTTCGCTGTCACGATTGGCAGACCACTTTTGGCAAAAAGTGCCAGTTTCCTCCTATGTGTGCTGCTGTTTAATACTCCCTACGTATCAAAATATAAGACATTTTTAATACTATGATAATGTCAAAAAACATCTTATATGTGATACAAAGGGAGTATATATCATCACGCGCGATGTTTGATAAAAAAGAAAAGCAAAGACAAGCACCCCCTCCGTCTGAAAAAGTTTGTCTTTCAAATGGATGTATTTAGCACCAAATTAGAGGGACAAGTTTGGTTTTCGGGCGGAGGGAGTATCTCGTTCTATAACAAGTTTTTATTCTCCCATTTAGATGACGGAAACAATGAAAAGCAGCATTTGTCAAGACGCGATGTTTCTTAGCTCGAGCTCAAACGAGCTTGGGTGACCAGTAAATTCTAAAAAAGTTGTTCTTTTTCTTGGCAAACATTGACAAATATTCTGAGTGAGTTCAAAGTTTCATCATAAAATAACATTCATGGACACGGAAGTCGTGAACCGAAAAACCAAATCGATGCTCCAAAAATGCTAGTATTTTCGAAAGCATTTTGGAGTGCTATTTATCTTCCCACAACTTCCACGAATGCCATCCCATAATGAAACTTTGCAAGCACTCGAAACAATTATCAAAGTTTGCCACATAAAAAAAGTTTCTATGTTTTTTTCTTCTTCAAATTTTACTGTTCATCATGAGTTCACGCATGCGAAAGAGGACTTTCGCATTTTGTCATTACTATAGGCAACAACATCTTGTCTTACCCCGGAAAAAAAAAACATCTTGTCTTGGTCTTCCTATGGGCTGTGTGTTGGACCGACCTAGATGGCCGCGTGCAATTGCTCACGAGTGAGAGACTAGAGCCTTGGAAGATAGGACAAACCCCTGGAAAAAATGAAGAAAGGACAATGTTGCGCAGTGGGATAGACCTCTTATCGAAGGTGTGAGCATGAAGTCCGTCCAGACTTGTATCTTATATATATCTTAGAGAGTCATCTTCGCTAACTTATTTATCTCAATATGTAAACATACCACCTCACCATAAAATTATGAATGAGACAAGGCCCACCTGAACAAAGTGATGGCGCTAGAAGTCAGAAATTGTGATGTTAAAGTTAGAAAATTTAGCTTACATGTAGACAAACTATAACTTAAAATAGTAAAACACAGGCGGCTAATCTCAATTCTATGATGTCGTTTGACATCATAGTCACCATGTAGCACCCCCACTGCCTAAATTATGTAGTCATGCATGGTAAAAACACACCACATTCAATTATTGTTCTAATATTTAATAAATATTTTACAATTATACATAATCAAATATAATAAGTCATATGTATGTTTAAATTTCGATTCTCATGTTATCAACCTAAGTTGTCATCAACCAATTCTCGTAGCAACGTTTGCCTCTAGTTACTCATTACTAAACAGTATAATAGGGCGAGCTGGGAGCCTCCACAAAGCTTTGGCGTTGCTAGCCATACGATCGTCTGCCTGGACATCTCTTGGGCTGCTGCTCCAAGGAACTA